CTTCTCTGATGTTTACATCCTCAGACATAACATTTTCTCTGGTGCTGGCTGCATCTGTGCAGTAACTTCCTACAAATGTAAATAGGACCATACCCTCAGCATCTGTATTGTTGGGAGTATGGCCCCATTCAAGTATATGGGAAGTTACTCAACAGGTGCTGCCAGCACTGAAGATGTTGGGCCGTAGGACATTTATACAGGAAGGGGCTGCCACTGTCATGGAGAGACAAATATACATCTGGGTGAGGATGGAAGGGGTTCTAGGTTAGATTTAGTTAAGGGCCAGGGTGTTTTATGGTGATTGCAGTGTAAAATATACCCTCCATATATTTAATACAATAAACAGCAAAATGAAAACGCATGCGACAAAATACTTTATAGCAAACACTAAAAATATAAGCTGAATGAAAACGCACTGCAGTTTTCTTTAAACAAAATCTCGAAAAGAGATCAAGTGAGTAGTAGCCCGGGCTGAAATCAGCTTTCATTAGTCTGTCCACCCCAAACAGCAAAACTGATTTCTGATAGGCTACTGTGGGTCTTTACACACCATCGAACTATGTTCTATATTGTTAAAGGATGTACCACTCGAAGACAGCGAAGTTTGGAGCTGCCACCTGACGGATCGGTAAGTATTCATCTATTTTAGGGGCAATGCTTTTCATGTTTTTCTGTAATAGCCTCAGAAACAAGTTCTGTACACTTAATGCATACACTTACATGTGCATAATTGCCTTTAGCTTCATGGTAATGTTCGGACATGAAGATATTGTAGGCGGAACGTGGTTGTTTGGGTCTCCCAAGTAACTTCAAATCCTGAGTAATAAAATGTAACAAGCTCAATAAACGAAAGGAAATGTGACTTAAAACACTTCACAACACATATTTACTCATTCAGTTGGAAAAAATGATTTTGGTTAAATATAACAATGAACTGAAAATTAGCTTGAAAAAGAAACAAAACCAAGCCACACTTGATTCCAGGTTTTTCTGAGCACCTTCACAGTGATCTGTCCTTATAGAAAGACTAAGGACTCAAATTTGAGGATTGTGTTTCTCTCAATAACATTTGTATGCACAAGCCAGTGTTGTATTCATTTAACCCTTTGTTAGGATAGGCAGTGTTCAAATCTACTTTACAAATCTTAATGAAATAAGCCAGAACAGTACAAACACAGTTAACAAATCCCTCACCCCTTCACAACCCCTTCGAACATTACAAAGAAGACACAAGCAGAAAAGTTAACTCTTAAGCCGAGAAGAAGCCAAGTAGAAACCATAACCAGGGGCGTATCCACCACAAGGCAAACAAGGCATTTGCCTTTCAGTAAGGCGAGCCGGGTTGCACAGAATCAGGCAGCCATGGCTGCCTAATCAAACAAACTAGGCGGCCGTGAGGCTCCGCAAGCGGCCACCTAATCAT